ACTGAAGGGGAAGAAATGCCAACTTAAATAAAAGACTACCTAAAAAGACTCTCTGGTTGGGGAGAGGATTTTTTTTTATTGAGACCATTTTGCTATTAAAAATATTTAAATATAATATGCAAACTGGCTAATCAAGTGAGGAGGGCTTTAAACTAGGTTTGAAGGGGGCAAGTGACAAAAGCCTATAGGTAGATCAAAAATATGGAGACCAGAGAGAAGGGTCAGACTTTGGAGAGATAGTGGGTTGTTACAGCAAGGATAAAGGAGAGAACTGGGGAGGGGGAAGGATGGAGTGAATCAAATCAGAATCTTAAGATGCCTGTATACTACTGTGAGCAGTATGGGAAATAAGCACAAAGAACCTGTAATGCTAGTAAATAAACACAACTATGACATAGCAGGCATCACAGAGACTTGGTGGGGTAATACACAACTGGAATATTGATATAGAAGGGTACAGCAGACTACAGATTCCATTTTTTCAGAAGAGGCTCTTGCACCAGAAGGAGCTGTCTACACTGCCCCTTCTTGCCCAACAAAAACCCTCTTGCGCAATATTTTAAGGACGAATGGCATTGCTCAAGAGGGTTTTTGTTGCGCAAGAAGGGGCAGTGTAGACAGCACCTTCTGGTGCAAGAGCCTCTTCTGCAACAATGGCAGCTCATTAGGTATGCAAATGAGACTCGGTGATATTCCACGCTGAGCCTCATTTGCATATTTCTCATGCAAGACGCCATGAGTGTAGACATAGTCACTGACAGAGAGAGGAAAAAAGGGAGAGGAAAAAAGGGAAGTGGTGTTGCTTTATATATTAACATGTATACACTTGGATTGAAGTTGAGATGGAAATAGGAGACAGCCTTAATGAACATCTCGAGATAAGGGATTTAAAAAAAGATGATGTTATTGTAGGAGTCTACTACAGACCACCAAACCAGGAAGAAGGGGTGAATGAGGCTTTTCTTTAAACTGCTAAAAAAATCATCCAAAGCACAGAACTTGGTGGTGATGGGAACAACTACCCAGACATCAATTAGGAAAATAACACAGCAGGGCACAGGTTATCCAACAAGTTTTTGGAATTACCAGAAACATTTTTTATTTCAGGAGATGGAGAAAGCTACAGTGGAGGGGGAGGCTGTTCTAGATTTAATGTTGACAAATACTGAGGAACTGGTTCGGATTTTGAAAGTGAAAGGCAGCTTGGGTGAAAGTGTTCATGAATTGATAAAGTTCATGATTCTAAGGAACAATAGGAGGAAGAAAAAGTTAAAAATAAAGACTAAGGATGTTAAGGACTAGTCGACTCCCGCCCCACCTTGCTGCTTCTATCAGATAGATAGAAAGGATACATCAGATACATTTCAAAGGAGGAATGCAGAAATACCTATTTACTAGTCGAGCAGTTGATGGAAATTCCATTGACTAGTCAATTAACCACAATTTAACATCCTTAATAAAGACAGTGGATTTGAAGAAAGCAGACTTTAGCAAATTCAGGGATTTGGTAGGCGAGATCCCAGAGCAAGTCTCAGAGGAAAAAACAGTTAAAGAGAGGTGGCGGTTTTTCAGAGAGACATTATTAAGGGCACAAGAGAAAACTGGCCTACTGTGTAGGAAAGATTGGAAGTATGGCAAGGGACAACCCTTGCTTCTCCAGGAGATCTTCAATTACCTTAAAAAAAAGTCAAAAAAGAATCCAACAAAAAGTGGAAACAAGGTCAGATCACAAAGGATGAATATAAACAAATAACAAGTATATAGGAACAAAATTGGAAAGGCCAAGGCACAAAATGAAATCAAACTACCTAGAGACATAAAGGATAACAAGGAAACATACTACAAATACATTAGAAGCAAGAGGATGTCCAAGGACAGGGGAGGACCATTACTCAATGAGGGAGGGAAAATAGTAATAGAAAATGTGGAAATGACAGAGGTGCTTAGTGACTTCATTTTGATTTTCACCAAGATTAGTAGTGACTTGTCCAACGTAGTGAATGCCAGTGAATATGAGGTAGGATCAGATATTAAAATA